GGGCGAGAACGACGACGAACGGCGAGGCGGCAGTGGTGTGATGGAGGAGAGGAAGCGAGAGGTATGGGAGGGGGTGTGGGTTTTATAGGTGGCGATGTCAGTTTGAGAGAACCGACCTTGGGGCGGTCAAGGAGATGAGGCGGGTGGCGCGAGCGGTCAAGCGGCGCAGAGGTGGTGACGCCGGCGGTGGTCGGGGAAAGGGAAAAAAAGAAGGGGGGAAAAAGGGGGGTTGGTCCTTTGCCATATTGAGGAGAGGGGAAGCAGCTGCTTCTCCCATTCTTGGACGATGCGGCGTGGAGTGGCAGGGGCCATGGATGACGTCGGCGATGACGGCGGCGGTCGGTTTGTCATGGAGCGGGGGCAAGGCGGCAGCTCGTGGCGTCGGCGGCGCAAGGGCTGATGGCGGCGGCGTTCGGCCGGTCGGCCACCTCTCGAGCGAGCGCGCGCGACGCGGGGGTGCAGCCGGATTTCGAACGGCGGCGGCGGGAAATCGGCGCTGAGGAGAGGGAGAAAGGAAGCAGAGAGAGAGAGCGAGGAAAGAGAGAGGAAGAAGAGAGGCGATGCCTCTCTCTCTCTCTCGGCGCATGCAGCGCACGTGCGGGGAGGAGGTGAAGCGGGCTGAGAGGAGATGGGCTGGGGAAGAAGAGTCGGCCCACTGAGCCAGAGGGAGGTAAAATAGACTTTCACAGAGAAGGCTGATTTGGAGAGAATTGGAGTTTGGATTTGGATTCAAATTCGATATTCGAACTCGAGGGTTCAGGGAGGAATCAAGGAAAGCTCAAGATAGGGTTTGGTATTTTTCGGAATTGGGAGCGAGTGTTTAGCGAGGATTCAAAGGATGCGACTGAATTTCGGAATTTGATTTGGAGACTTGAATCGGAAGAGGAATTTGAGGTGGAGGATTTTGATTTCGATGAGAGGGAACAATGTGATTTGAGATGAGATCTTGGCACGACTTAGACTCTCACACAAAGAACGAAAATTTTCGCAATTAGGATTTTGCCGAATTAGTTTTTAACGCCTCACGAAAAGCGGAGCGTTACAATTCGGGTCTGAGACGATTTGTGTGTGATATGAATATGTGATGTATTTGTGATGAATTTTGTAGAAGTTGTGATGTAATTTTTTTAAGATTTTGTGATGTATTTAGAGATATTGATTTGAGAATTTGGAGACTATTCGGGGATGATTGATTTGGGATTTTGGGATGAGATAGAGTGAATCAATATATTAAAAACAATGAAGAAAAGAATAGAATAAAGTAGCAACCGATCTGTTACCAACCGGGACTAAAGAAACACCAACCAGGACTAAAAATGGATTTTTACTCTCGGTTTTTTCATTCGGGACTAAAGATAGCGATCTTTAGTCCCGGATTCATAGTCCCGGTTACAGGGGGTTACGAACCGGGAGTAAAAACTCCTTCTCCACCAGTGTCTTTTAGGGAGATTGGGCCTTTCCCCGAGTGTGTGTGCCTATGAACTGTTGAGGTCCGAGCAATCTTAAGTTATTGGGCCTCAGCCAACCCCACCTGAGCCGGATTGTTATCAATAGCCTTTAAATTTTCTTTTATCTAAATCGACTATGATCATCTCTTATTATTAAATAGATAAAACTAAACGTCTAGCTCTATCGATTTGACTGCATGGACCAAGCGGAGCCATAACAAAACTGAGCTCGTGCTGTGAGGCCTCATATAAATATACAACGAGCTGGCAACTTATGAATCGAGTCTTCCTCACCGGAGAACACAAGAATCTTGCATAATGCAAAAAAACCGAAGCATAATATGAGTTGATGCATGCAGAAGTACATATTAGGAGCAATTATAAATTTACCGCTGTTTAAATTATTGTTGTAAAACTGTCATTTGAATACTTGTAAAAACTGCCATAAACTACCACTCGTGTGGCATTTTTACAAAATATCAAAAACAGTGGTTGGCTTGCAAATGCCCCTAAATATTATGGTCACGTTGCTTTCATGTTTGGGATTTTTTTTTATTAATTAGGATAGCCCAACATGATGACGGGTTAGCATTTGTGGAGATGAGGGAGTCGTCGACTCGAACCATTTTACGTGGCCTACACGAGTCAACTCGCCACTGCATATGGTCTTAGGAAATAGCAACTATGAATTTTACAGTATTTTAATAACAATTTAATGGAAGTGATATATTTTTAAAAATATAAGATTTTTTATATATCTGAAATAGAAAATCCGGAAGAAATATACCTTAGTCAGTATAAACTGTGTATCTTTGCAACTGATGAGTTTAAGGGCACTTACGTCCAAGTCCAACAATGTGTCAATGTCACCTAGCTAGCATGTGGTCGCTTTGTATTGCCATTTTATAATGAAAATCCTTTTAGAGATAGTGATAAGAGGAAGGCGTTGAGGGTGCCCGCTAGTGGTCCATTTGGAACGTACTCCTTCCGTCCCAAAATAAGTGCAGTTTTAGTACTATTTATGTTCAACGTTTGACCGTTTGTTTTATTTAAAAAAAGATTATGATTAGTATTTTTATTATTATTAGATGATAAAACATGAATAGTACCTTATGTGTGACTAATTTTTTTAATATTTTTCATAAATTTTTCAAATAAGACGGATGGTCAAAGCGCTAAACACAGATATTTATGGCTGCACTTATTTTGGGACGGAGGTAGTAGAATTTTGTTGTAACTTATACTACTGCATTCGGTTAATTATACCCTAAGTTAATGTGTAACACTTTGTTATAAGTTGGGAGTGGATTTTGATCCCTCGAGGTGACATCCCCTCGTTGTTTGCGTGTCACTCTAATAGTTATAAAAAAATTGAGAAGATGTACTAACATGTGATATAACACTCCACAAACATGCAAGTTCAAATTTAACTTCTACATTTCGCAACGAAAAAAACAAATTTAACTGTGAATACATATTAACTTGTTGTAGTTTAATTTTTTTTCCGTTGCAAGATGTAGAAGTTGATTTTTGAACTTGTATATTTGTGAAGTGATATATCGCATGTTAATACAACTTCTCAATTCTTTTTTCAATTTTTGTCATAATCATTTGAGTGATATGCAAATAACGAGGGGAGTCCCCTCGAGGGATCAAAATAGTTTCCTGTTATAAGTTAAATAGTACACTCTTTATCTCAAAATAAGTTTATTTTTCACTTATCTCACACATATCAATATAAAAGATCAGAGTACTTTTACTTTATCAAATACCAATGAAATTATTCATTTGTTAATTTGTTCCTAATATATTTATTTTCATACTTTTACAAACACTTATGCAATTATTATTTAAAGAATGAACTTATTTTGGGACAAACGAGAAAAAAGCAAGTTAAAAATGAAATTATTCTAGAATAGAGATAGTAGTAATTAGTACTCCTTCCGTTTCATATTATAAAACTTTCTAGCATTGCCCATATTTATATAGATGTTAATGAATGTAAACACATATGTCTTATAATATAAAACGGAGGAAGTACCAAAACTAATGCATTGTCGACAATTTTATTTGTCACATCCAAAACGTCAGTTATTTGTGACGGGAGTAGCTAAGTTAGCTAGTATTATCTAAGCTTTCATAATAGTATAACACTATATGTCGAAGTTATATCTTATCTATTATTATATATTAAAAGTCTATTAAATTTCCTACAAACGCTCTCAAGCCGCCACGTGTAAATCCTACAAACGCTCCTAAGTCGCCACATGGTGTTTTAATAAATTTAAGGAATATCTAATAATTCTTAAAAGGTAAACCATAGATTTTATTTTAAATACGGTGGACCCACTTTAAATCCGTATCGTGTACGTGCACTGGTGCACGTACTGTGTGCACGTACGTACGCCATATATCCTTTCTCTCCTCCTCTTCATGCTATATTATGTAGAAAATACATAATACATCATTAGAACATTAGAATATTTACCAAAAAAATTATAGTTGAAGACCCAAACTAACTATATTTAGTAAGTAAAAGAAATAAAACACATTTATAGGGAAAATCGTATAGATATTTTAACAATCTATTTAGCAACACATATATTTTAAATAGAACAATATGCAATAATAAACAATTTTAATTAGAAAATATATATTTAATAAGTATAGAACTTTGGGTCATTATTATGTTTGTAAATATAGATAACTCAAGTTGGTGAAACCAATGAATCTATCTCAAAGGAAATAAAACTCATCTCTTCCTAATGTCGGGCGTACCTGTGCACGTCTCCTGTAAGCAAGATCAGGATACATATATCTAATCTATCTTTACTGATCCATATGTAAATATATGTATAACAAATTACATTAATATGAACCAATTAAAAGGAGGGCTAGCTTGATGGTCCATTATTAAAAATAATATTTTTTAAGATTTGTTAAAAAAATCCCAAAACATTCAATCTAAAAAGAAAAAAGCACCTTATTTTTAATTTGAACTATTAGACATGTTTTCTAAACAAACTAAGTCTACCTCATTTTTAAATGATGAAGAAGAAAATAATAATTACTTATAGAGATGAATTAAATATTACGTAGTATGAAGATAACAAATACCTAATGAAAAATATTTGAGCAAAGCCAGCAAATAAATTTATGAAGAAAATGTACTTCTGATCCTTATAAGTTTTTCAAATACGGGCTTATGATATACTTGCCCGCGTGAATACGTGAGCTACCATCCTTGTTGATTTTAAAAGTTCAAACCATCTTTTTGTGACCGGGGGAGCGAGTAGTAATGTACTCCCTTTGTTCCTAAATATAAGGGATTTTGGTTAGATATAATGTATCCTAATTCTATGAATCTAGATAGGGAGCATGTCCAGATTCGTATTAGGATACGTCTCATCCACCTAAAATCCCTTATATTTTAGGACGTAGTGAGAAGAATATACGTACTATCATACATGCCGCAAATGGAAAGGAAAAGAAATTAACACAGAATGGAGCTGAACGATAAACATCAGACTAACCGAAATGGTGAGATAGCAATTAAGCGATCGAGCAAACAAGTTCAGATTTCAGAATGATATCTAGGAAGCATGCACGCATGCATGTAAAACAAAGCTCTGTTATGCATTGCTCCAACAGAACCCCATGCATGCATATATGCATTCTTACAGAAATCAAGAGTCTAGCTAATTTAAGGGACCATGACCAACCGGTAATATATTGGTTGACGACCTAGGTAAGCTAAGTAGAGCTAGACAGCTAGTGGGTAGAGCCAATATTCGAGCATACTTAAGGAAATTAACTACCTAAGCAAGCCACTGTCTCACTAGCTAGCTAATAAGATCCTTGCGCACCAGACTCCTCACCGTGGACATTGCACACCGAGTAGCACGAGGGGTCAGTCTCCTGGACGAAGACACAGCAAGGCAAAGGAGGCAGCTGATGAGCGCCGCCCATCATCAGCTGCCCCGCTGGATCGAGCGCTTGCTGCATCATCTGATGAGCCGGGCCGTCGCCGTAGCCCACCGCCTCTTGCATCGGCGCCATCTCCAGCGTCGTCATCCCGGCGTCATCATCGCCGGCGCCGCCGTGGCGATGGTTCAGCTCAAGGGCCAGATCGGCGTCGGCGGCGGAGAACGCCGCGGCGACGTCGGCGTGCTGGCAGCCCTCCTCGTGCTGCACGAGCGCGGCCTGGTGCAGGGTGACCTGCGCCTTGAGGAACTTGACGTAGTGGATGGCCTGCTCCAGCATGGACACCGTGTCCATCTTGCTGCCGCCCGGCACGAGGCTGCGGAGCACGCGGAAGCGGTCGCTGATCCGGTGCCGCCGCTCCCGCGCCGCCACGCTCTGCGGGTCGGTGGAGAGCTTGGCGCCGGGGCGCCGCCGCCCGCCGCCCCGCATCCTGCCCTCGCCGAGGCCGCCGGCCGTGGGGTGGAGGTGGTACGGCTGCGGGTGGATGGGGAAGCCGCGTGGGTCATGCATGTTTTAGTCGTGGTATGGATCCATAGATGGTGCGCTAGCTAGGAGATGGATCCGCGCTCGTGGCTAGCTAGCTGCGCGTACAAACACAAATGTGCTGGGTTTGTTTCAGCCCCTGGAGCTATTTCCGCTTGCTGGGAGGAGACGCGCGGTATGCATATATATACTGCGCGCGTACAATCGCATGGGAGAGTATAAGCACATAGATGCATGGTTCTGTTACTCCGCGTGATCTTTTTTAACCATGTATAGTACAAATTATAACTGGACAAGAAGTTTTATCAGATAAAGCTTCTTATATTTGATCGATAAAGCTTTGTCAAGTACGGTTTGATATTTACTTTGTTCCTAGATTCTGTAATTCTCGTGCTCATAACTTACCCTAAGAGGGTAGAAGTTGGAACCCGGGCCAATATGTTATTTGGATTAACCATCGTCATGGCCAATCTTGTAAGTGATTTGGTCAATCTTGTAAGTGATTTGGTGGTTCAGTGATATCACTGAACCAAATCGGTTAATAAAGAGGAAAAATAAGAGAATTGGTGTTGAGATTCATACTCTAAGACTTGACACCAACAAATTAAAAACGCCAATCGAAGAGACACAGCATGAAGTGTGTGTCTAGAGCTTGTAGGGATGATCTAGATGGCTAAAACCTAAAGGTGAGCAGAGAAATTAAAGGGCGTCGTTATATTATTCCAAGCAATGAATTGAACTGGATGAGGCAGTGGTAGATTCCACTAGAAGGTGAGAAAGACCAAGTATGTTTAGGTATGTAGTAGAGGGAGTGTGTCGCATAAGCCACTACAGACAGGAAAAGTGCGACAAGACGAATCACCGACAAAGAAGAAAAGGGGGGCACATGGGAGTATTGCTGAAGAGGTGGGGAAGAGAGAAGGGGCCTTTAGCGACTTCATTGGTGACGAGAGCGTGACAAAAATGTACAATGAAGATATCATGGGTTATGTAATAGGACCAGGAAATATATATTAGATTACGATCTTACATGAGTCCGATGTAAGCTGGCTACTCTTTTAATTTGATTGAATTTTTATATTGGACAATAGACGGTCCCCTCTTAAGAAATACATCATGCACTGTTATTGTATTTTCCCCCTCTAGTCTCATAGTTTGATGCTTTGAATTCTTATAGAAAAGGGATAGGAACTCTGCCAATCAATTAAGAAGAAAATAGGGTTACAGTCAACCCACCTAAGACCAGGGTTTGAATTGATTTTAAATTGATGAGTTTAATTAATTTAAATTGATGAGTTTAATTACGTTTGAAAAAGGATCAACGCAAGGCTTCTTCTATTAATAAAAAAACGTAGGCAATGTTTTCGTAATTGGCCTAGTTATTTCTGATGATCAGTGCAGTGGGCAGAAAAATTGTGCTCCGTACCTACTCAAGTGCACGTGCACTCGTTTAGATTCATGTTTTTTGTTCTTAAATATCAACTGAATGGTTATATTTTTTAAGAAAAATATCACAACATTTAAACAATTAATTAATACATATATCTACAACTTTGCAAAATTAAAGTCCTAATTTGTACTATACAGCGAGAGATGAAATAAACAGATTCGGTCATGAATAATGTTGACATTGTTAGTTCACAATACATGCTTTAATTCATGAAGAGGTACGTACATGGATGGGATAGCTCTAGTCTCTAGAGATCTCGACTTTAATTTTTACTAGCACTCATACAGTACCAGTGATCGAAAGCCCGCTATATTTTTGGTGAAAAGAAGCCTAGCCAGCTAGGGTCTTCGGAAGCCGTACAATCCCTTTTTATTGAGTGCCTTTGTGAAATACATGATCACATGATTGGTACCTGTGTCACATTCACCCCTTTGTACACATGACCACCCGGGAGGTAACACATCCCCGGAGATGGTGGCAAAGAGACAGCATAGAATAATGGCTCTTTATTCGTTTCTAGCTAGCTTCACCTCTAGTCTTCTGTCTACTCCAGTTGTTTTACCTTGTACAGACTTGTGTTTGGTGGATATTTGAAGCCCTGTACGTAGCCGATGCTGTCATTGAAAAAAATATTTCAGTCATTGGGTCATATAAGCTCCATGAGCGCTTATGGGACTTATTAGCGTGGTCTACTCTTGGAAGCATTACTTTGGACGATCCCTCCATTCATTTCTATCGGGAATTACCATCGTACTCAAATTATTTTTGCTTAAGCAAATGCTAGCTTATTATAGTTTAAGCAAATAGGAGTATGAGACAAGTTATATATGACCGCAGCAAACACCTCCCTACTTATAAATTTTAGAATTTCTGGCTCTGTGATCACTAGGATAATAGGTAACCACACATATATACGTTGAGAGAAATTAATTCAAATAGAGTTAGCGGGATTTGAAACACATATTTTTTTTAAAAAAAACTATTTTTTAATATAATAAACGCGAAAGAGTTGAACACACTGAATTATCACTTCCATAATTATCCTAAGAAAGTTCAACGAATTTTGGAAAACCTTCGGCTTCCAAACAAGATGGGATTTCACTGTCGAGCTTATAACTTAACGACACATGCATATATGCGCATGCATGGTTGCACAAGACTCGAGTCATCCAAATCTCTGATCATCATCATTGGAAGGATGTTATAGCACTTTGAGGAAATCGTTGAATCGAAGGCGCCCGATACCGTACGCCTACAAGCTTCCAACCGAGCGTGCGCGAGTACAGTTCTTGGAAATGGAAGTCGCTGTGACACAGTGGCTACAAGTACGTGTACTTTCTATTCTATTCGGTCGATGGCCATGCATGAACAGTGCCCAGCCGCTTCGCGGTGTAGCTTAGCTTAGCTTCCATATCGACGAGTACGTACGTACCAGGTATATATTTCCTTCTATATATATTGGCTCTGCTTGCAACAATAGGCTATATAGCTACTCCTACCTTCCGGGCCTCTGGAAGATTAAGTGTGTGTTTAGTTCACGTTAAAATTAGAAGTTTGGTTGAAATTGGAAAGATATGATAGAAAAGTTGAAAGTTTATGTGTGTAAGAAAGTTTAGATGTGATAAAAAAATTAAAAGTTTGAAGAAAAAGTTTGGAACTAAACTCGGTCTTAACACGTACCAGCTATCTACTGTACTGTAGCATTCTAGCCTGCAACGAGTCAGAGCTTCTCGTCCGCGCGTGTACGTGCATGCCTTGCCGTGTTACATCGCGCGGTCGCCTCGATCAGCTTAAACAAATGGAGGCTAGGCAAAGAGGAGGAGATAGAGGATGGGAGGCAGAGACAAGCCATGCATGACAGATCACTGCAGGGCGGAGGCAAGTAGGCAACGGAGGCGGCTAATTAAGGGGGTGTTTGTAATTTACCTCAAAATACACTGGTAAGGTAGGAAGTAGCTAGAACTGCCAGAAGGTGATAGTGTTGTTTATATTTTAGAACGGATAGAGTAGAAATGCTTATATATGATAAATGGAGAGTACGTGATATTTTTCTCTCCATCAATTTACGTTAATTGGATTGGAACATGATGTGCAATTCTATTTTAATTAGGGATTTGATAGATTTCATACGGTTAAGGAGTTATACATTTTCAGTCATCTATAATTCCACAATGCATATATCTAACTACAAATTTGTCGTTATATATGATTTTTTTTACTTTATATTTAATCTAAGTTAAAAAAAATGCACGTAAATTTTATAACTTTTTATTAGCTATAAGTTTATTTCATGTAATTTTATATTTTTTTTCTGGTTAGAGTAACATATTTTTCAACCATGTATCTAAAGAAGTGACTTTGTTTAAATAAGTGTAATTAGGAGGTGTTGGCAACCATTGTATTATCATCCAACGGATGAATAAAATAACTGAACTTTAACAAATTTGGAGGCACTCAAAATCTATTCTAAAATATATTTAATACCAGGCCACTGATCCTAGGTGCCCCTATGTATATTTCGGGTTAGGGGCGACTAGAAATACCTATCTTTTTTATTTTTTTCCTTCATGTCTAGAGTAGTAGTAGTTTCTTAGTCGATTTGCCTGAAAACCGGTTAGTATTTTTTAAAAAAAAATCTGCTCATTGCAAATTAATCCAGGTTCTTTGACGACTGCATGTATTTTAGACTTTTGACGCCAACAATTTCATTGCTTCAAGCTTCTCCATTAAATGGGAAAAACTCCTGGCCGGGTGGGTGATTGTGTGTTTAAGATGTCACAAAGCTGACGGCAATGAGCATGTTTAGTGAGTCTAGCTATAGGGGCTTTGCCATGCGTTATTATACTCCGGACCTCATCTTAATTTCGTTTTGGGAAAATCTCAATTTCCAATTTGGAACACCTGATGATCTTTTAGTTCTAGTACTCCTACTCCACACCGAACTTGCTATGGTCGTCTCGGAGGCACGGCTCTCTTCCGTGACAAAGAATAGTCTATGAACACATTGAACAGTCAGTTCTGTCAGGCCCAGCTCGCCAGCGAGAACCCGGACGCGCGCAACGTCGTCGTACGGACCGACCGCGTCGCGTCGCCGTGAAGAGATTGCCATGTGACATTCCGGCCTGTGTACGTACGAGCGCGCGCGCGCGCGCCTAGGACCGCCTGCACCGAGAGCGAGACGAGACGTGATATGATATGATATGATATGATGTGGCCGCGCGCGCCTGAGAGTCGCTGACGACGCTGCAGTGGCACTGGCACGGAGTAGCGACATGGAAAATCTGGCCCCCTACCTGCCCCCGCAGCTTAGCTTAGCCGTGTGCAGTGGTGCATCCTGCATTCGTGCTGCACGGGCCGGTGCCGCACATGTACGGTTGTGCACATGCAATGCAATCGCGTCGCGCGCACCAGGCCACGGCGCCGGCCGGTCGGGCGGCCGCGAGACGACGACGTTGCTGCTTGATCGTGTGCTTGTCACGCCGGTGCCTTGATTTATGGGTTCACTACTGCCGATAAAAATAATTAAAAAAAAGATAGAACCATCGTTGCCTTTCCTATATATTAAGAAAAAAATATAAGATAAAGTTTTATTTTGTATGATTAGTGTAAAACAGAATCGAACCTAGGTAACAGAAGATTAATCACCTGAGTTCTACCAGTATCCCTACAAAATAAATAAAGCGGAGGAGAGGTAGCAGGGAAGCGAATTAAATTTGAAAAATATATTGTTCATCTATTTTTTTTTTCAAAATATTTCGAATGTAAACTTTTTTGCGATAATATAACGTCGATCTCGCACGATCTCGCACAACCGTTGCGCGAAAATGACGTGGATGTGACATTGCAGACGGTATTGCGCATTGAAAGTACGAGACCGCACCGTGCACGATAATTAATCACTAATTATTATTAGCTAATAGTTAATTATGTACTTGATCACTAATTAAATGGAGCCGGTTAATACTGTCGCAGACTGTTTCAGCAAGACCTCGCTCTTTCATTTCGTAAGACCGCGCGGTCTCGCACATAGCCCACGCGATACCGCCTGCGACGTCACGCATCCGTTATTTTCGCGCAATGATTGTGCGAGATCGACGGTATATTTTCGCAAAAAAAAAATTTTCATCCCAAATATTCCTTAAAAAAATTAAATAAACGGTATATTTTGAAATTTAATTCGCGGGGACTCTCAAACTCTCTCAATGTTAAAACCCTAAAAGCTAAGTCGTCCAATCGACCGACGCTAATCGTGAGGTGATCAAAAAATTATCAAAAGAGATGTTGACGCACTCTACTTCTCCTACGTCAGCAAGAACCAAGAGAAGAAGGCAACCGAAAGATTAGGAAGAAGAGAAAAGGAAGAACGGCAGCAAGTAAATTAAAATGACCGATTACAATGACTTCATCCTCATGACAGTAGATTAATAAATTTGACATTAAATAGAAGTGATCATTCTAAATCATTGGAATTTTGTAAATTAGACTCCCAACACACCTGCGCTCGTCCTAGCGCGGCAAGCCGACGACGGTGTCATTGCGGACGACCACGAACCAGACGCAGATAGTACTGACTGTAAAGGTATAATTTCTTGCTGATCGACCTATCGAGAAAACCTTCCAATATCGTACTACGAGTACCAAACTACGATTGTATATAACTCTGTAGCTACAATAATTAATTTTTTTCAAACTTTCAACTTTTCGATCACATAAAAACTTTCCTACACACATAAACTTTCAACTTTTCCGTCACATTGTTGCAATTTCAACCAAACTTCCAATTTTGGCGTGAACTAAGCACACCCAAGCATACCGAAATTTTGGGTGTGCTTAGTTCACGTCAAAATTAGAAATTTGGTTAAAATTGGAACGATGTGACGGAAAAGTTGGAAGTTTATGTGTGTAGGAAAGTTTTGATGTGATGGAAAAGTTGGAAGTTTGAAGAAAAAATTTGGAACTAAGGTCTTATTTAGTTCCCTAAAAACTTTTTCCAAAAAAAAATCACATCGAATCTTTAGACATATATACGTAGCATTAAATATAGATAAAATGAAAAACTAATTACACAGTTTGCATGTAAATCGCGAGACGAATCTTTTGAGCCTAATTAGACCATGATTAGTCATAAGTGCTACAGTAACCCACATGTGCTAATGATGGTTTAATTAGGCTCAAAAGATTCGTCTCACGGTTTCCAGGCGAGTTATGAAATTAGTTTTTTCAATCATTTCTGAAAACCCCTTCCAACATCCGGTCAAACATTCGATGTGACTACTAAAAATTTTTATTTCACCAATCAAACAGGTTCTAAACTCGGCCCGAGTTAAAATACGAGCGCTAGCTGAATCCGGCCTTTGCATCCCCCTGTGTATCTGCTGTCCGCTGGTACGCCTTGCATCATGCCTGCAGGCTGCAGGGATTGGGCTGTGCGGGAATAAAGGGCTTCATTAACGAGGATGGCGACGTCCACCCGTGTGATCAGAGGCAAAGATTTTGGCAGGACTGATGCTATGTCACGCAGCGGCCGATTTGATGTTTTAGGGAGTTAAAATTATTTCTAGGCAAAGGCAGTAGGCTGGTATTCCTCGATTCATCAGGACCGGCTAGCTTGCTATAGCTGCCAGACTTGTCTAGATAGCCTCCTTGCTCCAGCGTACGGTTTGCCCTTCCATGCCGCTCGAGTGGCTCGACGCTGTCTCCGCGGGTCCGGCTACAATGTTGACATTTTCTTTTATATTATACCTGCACACGCACACACATCCCTCGGCATGTCACATCACACTCATGCAAGGATTTGAAATATTTTAGGCACCTTTAAATCCCAGCAATGAAAAAATAAAAAAAAATAGGAAAAACACAGCATTATGATAGGAATACAAGCGTAAAACAGAAAATTGAAAAATACATAAAAAAAACACAGGAATGACCATTTGATTGGACCGCTGGAAAAACGTAAGAATCAGATTAGAGAGATAGGCTCAAAAGAATTTTTCCAAGAAATTGAACCTCTTACTAACTTTCCTCCAAAATCTCTATAGGATTATTTATTCCATAGGAATTTCAAAGTATATGATATGATACGATATGGTTTCCATAGGAATTTTTTTCCCATAGGATTAAAATCTTCCAAATTTCTTATACTTTTCTTACAAATCAAAGGGGCCCTTAGAACTACTTTAAAACGCAGGATTTTTAAAACACGGGGTGGTAGAAAAAAAACACTAGTAGGATTGAAGTGCCTTTGAGCCCATCTTAAATCCTATAATAGAAAAACACACAAAAAAACCTGCGAAAAAGACCTTTTGGATGAAACACAGGATAAATATAGGAATCAGAAAAGAGATAGACACAAAGGAATTTTTTTTCCAGAAGGTTCGAATTTATGTCAAAAATCCACCAAAATTTCTATGGTTTGAGGTAATCCTAAAGAATTTTAAAGGGGTTTAGGAGAGCCATTCCTAGTTTCATTTCAAATGACCACATAGGAATTATTTCTATAGAAATCCTATCTTTAAAATTTCATCTAAATTAATTTATTTGTTCCAAACGAACCCCTTGGAGTCTGAAAGTTTTCTTTATCTTAAAAAAAAGCCCAAACAAATCTTATTTTGTGAAACGTTTGCTATAAAAATTTTGTTCACAAGTCATAAAAACTATTTAAATTTTATTGTGCGAGCCTAGGTGGCACTATAAAAAAGGATTTTTGCATGTGGTCATTTTTTCCATGCAATTGGGTCGATCACCCGTATGCCTCTAAAAAGGTATGCAAAAATAACGATTTTAGAGTTTTTATTCTAATTTTGGATATTTGTGTCCTAAAGTTATTTTGGTTATTTGAAAAAAAATGTAGTATATTACTAACGGAGACTGACCGGATGGTGATGGTAAATCGTAGAAGTTAAGCAAAAGTCGATGGTATATTGTAGAACGTGACAAAGTCAATAGCTAATCATAGAAATGAGACAAACTCAATGGCATATAATGGATTCTGTATATTGACCCTAAACTAGGCCCAACACGTAAGCTGTTCAGCCTGTTGTGTTTTTTTTTTACCCAACTGGTAGAAGCGTGATGGTGGGGCATTGGAGGGATCGATGCAGCTTAGGATGTAAATAGGTCAACCCGTGAATCTATTTATAAATAAAATTATTGGATAACCTATAAATTAACTCACGGTTACCTACTAATTTGATCTATAAATTGGTTTACGGGTATATCCACTTACATCTATTTCGGCTCTATTTGCAATGCCCATCGCCTCAGATTGGGCCTGGCCCATGGGGGTTAGGGTGTTGTTATTAGGTCAGTGCCATGCCGATCGTGGTGCTCCTGTGACTGTGGGAGAAAATGGGAACGAGTTCACTTCATGCAGTGGTGCACGTATGTTCACAGAACTAGCTAGTGGAGTCTGTGAAGACGTGGCTCCTGTGCAAACTTTCAAGAGTCCAATATGGTCTACACGGACAACTGGAGAAGTGAATATATCACCAAATTTTGGACCTCTTCACTTTGATGCCATTTTCAACCATACCTTTTTTTTTATATTGTTAAAAAAATATCTACGTTTAGTTTGCTAAATTTGGTTAACACATAAGAAATACTACCAAAATTTTAGTAATATTGTCATCTTGCTAAAATTTTAGCATTATTAAAACTTGATAAGATTTATTTTGGCTACAATCTGAATTGGTCATTTGTGTATCTAGACAAACCCGTCATAACGATGAAACTGACCCGCACAAACCAATCAAATAGGACTACTACTCTGCCTAGATGGTTCTTTCAGCTGCTAGCATAATCCCGACATGTGACAGTAGCTCAGCAAGCAGTACCATGCATGTCAGCACGAACCAACGACAGCCACACAAAACTCAGCGAAGAATAATAACACCGATTAAGATGCTTCCAGAAATTCAAAGTAACCGCAGGAGGCCTCTGTTTTTCCACAAATCTGCATATTGAGAACAACCAATCGGTACGTGAAACATTCCTGGGAATCTCTGTGGTAACTGTCGTGTCCCACTCTACATGAACAGCGTCGAGCCAACAGTCGCTGCCTCATTTCTTGGCCCATGAACGACTAGCCTTCGTCAAACGTAAAAGGGAAACAAGCTAGGAACCACCATATCACACACTCACCGGCACACCGCGCATTTTGAGCACCGGCTGGGGACAGGGATCGCCGAGCCCGCGTTAGCCACGTAACGCAGCGTCGCAGCGTGCAGCGAACCGCACGCGCGCGCGCCTTAAATTTTGTTCCGCCGAGGCGCGACGAACGACACAAACCGACACTACGTGAATACGTGACGTGTGCGTGCGGCTGCTGCGTTTGGACTTTGGCTCAGCCGCGTAGGAGTACGTTGCACAGCATGGCGGCAGCGCAGGACGCGTCGTCCCAGGCGTTGGGGCTCCGGTGGCGCTACGGCGACGTCGACGACGGCAACTTCGCGGTGCGCGGCCGCGCGGTGCCGCTCCTCGTGGCGCTCCTCTTCGTCCTCGTCTGCTTCGTCGCCGTCTCCCTCTACCTCCGCTGGGCGTGCCACTGCCACCGCTACGGCCGCGACACGACGCCGATGCCCGCCACCACCAGCTCCGGCTTCTCCTCGTCGCACGCTGCGGCGACCGCGCCAGGTTCAGCCTCATCGGTGACCGGCCTCGACGACGCGACGATAGCGAGCATGCCCGTGGCGCTGTACCGGGCCGTGGCGTCGGCTGCAGGTGATGGCGACGACGGCGGCGCCGCGCAGTGCTCGATATGCCTCGGGGAGTTCGAAGAGGGCGAGAAGGTGAAGGCGCTGCCGCTGTGCGGGCACGGGTTCCACCCGGAGTGCGTGGACGCGTGGCTCCGCTCGCGGCCGAGCTGCCCTCTGTGCAGGAGCTCGCTTCTCCCGGCCGCGGCCACCACCAAACCGGACGTCGCCGGGAGCGATGCTGTCTGATCATATGCACGCACAGGGCTCGCTCGGTCGTCGCATGTAAACTGCGCCGTGCGCCCGTACGTGCACATTCCATTGCATTGCACCCGCCGGTGCCTGGGCTGCTGGTCCGGAGGTTCAGGCGGTGGGAAACTGATTAATTTCTTAGTTAATCTGTACATCAGTTAGTAAGTTCATTAATAGTATAGTTAATATGTGCATCAGTTAGTTTATTACTACTCCTACATGGTTTCGTTAACTTAGCTCACAGCAACGGATGCCACTTGCAGTTTCTGTTTTGAATTCACTGTCACCAAGAGGAAAGTGATGCACTGATGTCATTGCAATAGAGCGTTGAACTTGCCCTCAAAGGGCGCTTTAGCGTTCAGTTTCTCATGATGTTAATAGGTACTTTCTTCGCGAAACGGAACGGTCGAACGGACGCAATACATAAGGATACGATTGCTGTGCGAGCTTGTGCTGCAACCCAGCGAACGATGTTTCTGCATGATTGTTTCGAGACGTGGACACACGAAACACCTGTCTGCACCCCAACTACCCCAACTGGCTTCGTTTAGTCCCCAAAATTCCAACTGGCTTCGTTTAGTCCCCAAAATTTTTCCCAAAAACATCATATCAAATCTCTGAACACATGCATAAAATATTAAATATAGATAAATGAAAAAACTAATTGCACAGTTAGGGGAAAATCGCGAGATGAATCTTTTGAGCCTAGTTAGTCCATGATTAGCCATAAATGCTACCGTAACCCACAAGTGCTAATGTCAGATTAATTAGGCTCAGAAGATTCGTCTCGTGGTTTCCAAGCGAGTTATGAAATTATTTTTTTCATTCGTGTCCGAAAAACCCTTCCAACATCCGGTCAAACATCCGATGTGACCCAAAAATTTTCTTTTCGCGAGTTCTAAAAAAACGTCACATCGAATCTTTAGACATATACATAGAACATAATATAGAAAAAAAGTAATTAACAATTTGTATGGAAATCGTGAGACGAATGAACATTAAATATAGATAAAAAAATAATTAACAGTTTGCATGAAAATCGTGAGACGAATTTTTTTAGCCTAATTAGTCCATGATTAACCAAAAGTTAATTCATGGCCCTTCTTGATAAAGTTGCCGCCACAAGCAGTACACGACAAATCGAACGAAAATTTACAGCGAAAACAAAACAATACGGCTAGACTGAGACGGGAACTCTACTATTGAATCTATCTTGGAGAAGGATCAACGCAAAGGATGGATGAAATCTAGGAGTAAGATGAAGGAGTACTTGCTTGCTTGGAGCCTGAACCTGAAGAGATAGGGATCTTTGAGGAGGATAGATTTATAAGGCGGCCGGCGGCGGCGAGCAGCTTCAGGGGGCGTTCTCTAGGTTATAAACGAGCTCGGGCCCCGGGGAAGAAATAGTGGGCCGGGCCTAGAAGAATTAGTATGGATCAGGCCGGCCCATGCTTCCTATGGCTTTCCTTAGGTCCATGCAAAGCAAATGTAGTACTTAAAATCGTTGGGAAACGAAAATCGATCAAGTTTAAGTAATGGTAGTGTATTTTCCTCACAGAAATATACTACTAGTAGAGTAGTATAGTTTGTTGTGTATTTTAGGAACATGATTATGCCTTACACTCTCTCACTAGCAGTTAAATGTGCCAGTCGGTGAATGCCTGAATGGTATGTAACTCTGGGGCCTTGAGTCTTCAGTAATCCCTTGTTCTTTTTATAAGACTGATGACTGAAGCTGTGGCTTCCCCACTGTTGCAATTCTTAAACCTGCATGGGCCGGGCCTAGTAGAACTAATGGTCCATTTAATGGTCCCAATTCTGAAACCTGCATGTTGGCAAAATGGACAATTTTCTGGACATTCGACTGCATAGACACACGCTCCTACACTTGTCGCATCTGATATCATTCGTTGCACAAGGACTCCACAGCTATATGAACATAGGACTGGAAATGGAAAAGGGCCGGCCAAATCGTTAAATTCGTTAATCTGACTATATATCTGTTCAGTTTGGTGCACAGGACGCATCACGCATTCACGCATCGTCGAGTGACCTGTGCTCATAGGCCATAGCTACTCCAACCTTGCTGATCGCCGAGCACCATATCGCGCCTGATCTTACACAATAAATGAGGCTGATCTGCTGAGCTGGTAGTACGACGCGACCTCATCAGCTCGATCGGTTTCTTCCTCGTGCACGTACTAGCAGAGTGGCATGCGGGGGCGGGAGTATACGAGATCTAGATGCCCAGAAACCCGGGCATTAAAATATTTTAGCTATAACTTATCTTTTTTTTATTATGTGCGCATCCTCTTAATACAAACTATAAAATCAATTTAAAATAAAGTAAATTAAACATATAATATCTTCCTTCATTTCATTTTAACTCCACACTAGGTGGTACGGCGAGGTTCGTTACACGTAACAACTTTTATTTCTCGGAATTGCTAACCTTCTTTCGACAGAAATTACATATCCAAATCTTGCAGATTTTGGGACACTGGATTAGCTTCAATATTCATGCTCCTGGCCTTCTCCTCCAACTCCGGCGACCTCCTCTTCTTCTCTGACGCTGGCGACACTTTAGACTCCGGTAGAGGACCCTACAGGTTAGTGTCCCGGGGTGGGGTGGGAGGGGGAGGAGGAAGGGGAGGAGTTCGCCGGCTCTATAGAGATGGCCGGGGGAGACGACAGCCCGACGGTGGGCGGTGGATCGGGCGGGCGGTGAGGCGCTGGCAGCGACGCTGGAGCTGTGGTGTTGGAAGAGGGCGGTGGGCTGATGTTGGTGGCGGGGCATCTCGTCGTTGACGGCTTGGGGAGGCAGTCGGCGGCACGATGGGGCGGTGGCGGCAGGGGATCAGGCATAGCGGAGAAATGCGTGATGGTGGCGGCGAAATGAGCGATGCGAGGGGAACGGGAGGAGAGCTAGGGTTAATGTCTCTGCACAAATCTTAAAGCATATCCGATGGTACAAAATTTAAAAGATAAAAGTGGCCTAAAATTTAAAAGATAAGAGGTAAAATTTTCTGCCAACGGATATAGACAGTCCCTTTATTTCTACAGAGAAGACAAAGCACGCCCCGTGCTTTATCTCCCAGCAACTTTGCTCCTCGCATACATGGAACGGCCTCGTCGACGTGTGGCGTGTCCAGTGTCCTACCTGTCGCAGCAGCAGCATCTTGCCACGACAAAGAGGATACGCGAGCTTTGCTACCGCAACGAAACGCATACAGAAAAATGCAGGAAACTAAGAAGCAGCAGGCTTGCATGCCTCAGCTGCATGGACGGCTCGTAGTGGAGCTGTAGTCCCCCTCCTCAACTGTTGACAGGTGGTGCTTCTTTTTGTCACTCAACTTTCAGGTAGATGATTTTCAGGCTTTACATCGAAATGATCAACTGAAAGTGCCTTTTCGATCTGTTTCCCGTGTGTAAGTAGGGAAAAAAAATACCCGGAGAAAAGAACAGATCGAGCAGAGTTTTCTGTCATGGACTCATGGGTAGGCAGTAGGTATCCCCACGAGGCCACCACTACTCGATCTGCAGCTGGACGCATGAAGCCGTCCGTTTCTCTGTAAACCATATCTGTTCATCTCTTTCGCTTTAATCCTTTTCTTCCCCAATGTACAGTTTGGTCAGGAACCTTACAGCGCATCTGTGCACGCAGGCACGTAACGTACGCAAGCATGGCCATCCCATTAGCCATATATATAACCATATACTGTATCGATCTCTTCCCACTTAACCTAACCCCTGAAGAAAAAGAACAAATGAAAGACATCTTCTGACAGCAGGTGAAACGGCCAGAAAAGAATGTGAAGAAAAGAAGAAGAAAAATCTCTTTTCAGTACGATGATTGTGTATAACCAACCAGCTCTGCCTATGAGTAATCCGGTCTCCGTAAATTCTTGGAATTTGCTATACCAGCTGCGGCCTGGACATTATCCTGGTGTAGAGGATGAGGTTCCAGATGTCAGGGACGCCGGGGAGGCACCAGTGGATGCAGTCGGCGTAGGTGCCAGGGTCGGCCTGCTGCTCCGGCGTCAGCACCTTGCCCTGCCGGATGGTGTGCACGGAGGTGTGCCCGTCCTTGCGCCGCTCCGACATGGTGGTCACGTCGACGAAGGTGATGGGCACCCGCGTCGCCGCCGTGCGGGACACGTTGGCCGCCGCGTGGAACATGTCCCAGTCCGTGCCCAGCCAGATCGGCCCGTGCCAGTTGAGCAGCGGCATCGTCTCCTTGGCGCACCGGATCCCGCCCGGGTTCCCCCACACCTCCGGGCTGCAGAGCCACGAAAACAGATTTTTCAGAAACCGAATTAACGACCAGGATGTAAGTTTTGTCAGTTTGATAACGGTGAAATCATGGGCAAATTATTTAGCAGACCTATGCATAGTAGCATAAGCATGGGGATCGTAGTCCTCACTCCGTCCCACGATAAATTTGACAACTCGTCTTATTCAAATTTTTTTTGCAAATATAAAAAACGAAAAGTTGTACTTAAAGTACTGTAGATATTAAAATAAGTCACAAATAAAATAAATAATAATTTTAAAAAATTTTAAATAAGACGAGTGGTCAAACGTTGTAAGCAAAAACTCAAAATTACTTATATTATGGGACAGAGGGAGTACATGATATCGGTAGTACGGAGTAATTGTGCTTTGGTTGACCAAACTTTTAACTGTATCTGTTGACGTGACATGCCTCCGAACCCAAAGAAGCCAAAAGCGTAGGTTCCTCAGTTGTAGACGCAATCCCTACTCGGAATAGTCAACAACTTTCGAGATCACACAGCTGGACACGGCAAATGTTTTTTCGGCCTTCTTCCTAATCCAAGAAGGAAAGCAGTAATACTACTAGTAATTAACTGACGATAAAACCCCGGTGATTTGTTTGTTTACCAGATGTGACATGAACCTCGGCAATTTTGTCCGGTTACTAGTTAACCATATTCTCGCATCCTCTTTCCTACACCATCCGTCCCAAAATAAATGCAGTCATGGTTTTCCGCGCCCAACTTTGACCATTCGTTTTATTTAAATTTTTTTTTAAAAAAACTAAAGATATAAGTCACGAGTAAAGTACTATTCATGTTTTATCATCTTATAACAACAAAAATGCTAATTATAAAAAATTTTAAATAAGACGGGCGATTAAAGTTGGGCGCGAAAACTCATGATTGTACTTATTGTGGGACGGAGGTAGTATACAAAAGGGAATCATTGACTTCAAAATTCGCAGACAAATCAAAGTGGTTTGCTTCACGGGACCCTAAGCACCTATCAGTTTCAGGATAAGACTGTTCCTAATATTAGGGATTTTCAACCCAATAACTAGTATGGTGTCCATATAATTAAATAAGTTGCCACGTAGAACAAAAAATAATGTGGCAAGTGAATAAATGAGGAAAGAGAAGGAAACCATATCTTGTATGAGACATGATTTTTACACAACATCCAAGACATCATGTGAGATAAGTAGCATTAAATTGAAGTACGGAATAGTGGTGTTTGCATTAGAAGAGTAGTGTCTAGTACTAGTTTCTTGATGATGTAGAGTTGAAACCATATCTAGTGTTATGGGTTGGGACTGTCCTAAAAGTTTTTATAGAGGGAGAGCTTTCGTAAGGCGTCATCCGCGGGCCATGCCAATCCTTATCAAGCCTAATTGACATCGATCCGCAACAGTAACCAGCACAACCTTCTGTTCGATCCGATACTAACAAAGCAGCATCTGTCCCTTCATCGTAAAGTACGCAATAATACACGTATGGGCATCGATCTACCAGGCCTTATTTATGTTTCATCACACATATCAATTGCAAACCACCATTTCTTTTTGTTCAGTCTTGTAAGTTTGAATTCTCCACCAGTAGAACACGGGGTTGAGGAACTCTCAAGCTGAATTGCACAAGAAGAAAAGCAAATCGTCAACCACAAGCGACGTGTAGTAGCTAGGTTCAGCCAACCAGATTTGAATTCCCCTCTACTAATCTTCAACCCCTATATATGTGTCAGATTAGATAATTTATCTACTTGCTCCGTGGTTCAATGCGTTCTGTACTCCGAGATCCTAGAATTCCGGTCACAAGATGATGAGCCCTCACAACGATGATACTAGTATTTTTCAATATGTCATCACGAACTACGGTGCCCGTCCTGCAGGTCTGGGATCGTCGTCGTCATCGTGGGATTCACTCATCCACGGCTCGCAAACGGCGGCCAAATGGGAAAAAAAGATCGTGCGGAGAAGCTTCCATCTCGGACTCATGTGCAAATAATTCTCCTACCCATGTGAGCGAACAGGTACACACAACTATGCATATATACCCATGGCGCAGTAGGGGAGTAGGAGTATTAAAATTTTGGGAAATGCGAGATGGCCACAACAAGCAGAAACAATAATAGGGGCGCCCGATAGTAACCTCATTTGATTGGACATTTGCAGACCGGGTCAGTTATGTGACGCACATTCTTGGGCGCAGAAAGTGCGTGCTAAGTGAGAACTGGAAAGAAGCCACAGCTTAGCTAAGAAGATGCCGCTCCAAGTGATACATATAAAAGCGTAGTTTTCAACAGTGGTGTGGTTGTGCAAACTGCTCAAGTGTGGTCACCATTGGGGTTTGCAGATAATTTTAAGCTTTTCAGCAACGGAGCTGTGTGTCGGTTAGCCGTGCTATGGTGTACTGGCAGGAGTCATTTGCTGGCCGGCATGGCAAGGCATCCCGTGTGAGCGTGTTAGATACTCACTCTCTCTACTTTAGTCTACAGATGATACGCCACTAACTGAAATGTCAAACCCTATAAGTAAATTAATGGGAGTTGGTTTGCTACAGTTGTCGCGGTAGCATGTTATAGCAGGACCGCGGCCACGTTGAAGTAATTAAGGGACGGTCTCATGGCCAACGCCAATGACGAATAATCCATGTGTTGCGTCCGGTGCTCACGGTGTGCTAGTCGCCTGACACTAATTAACACGAATCGTTTGCACGGTTTAATCTTTATAATTACCACCACAAGTCAAGACACATATGTAGGGTCTCTGACATTTCCACGCGCGCGCACAACTACAATCTGGCTCGAGGCGGCCGGGTGACTCGTCTCTTTCTATTGGCCTGGGCCCGCTTCGATTCGTACTGTTCGTTTCGCCCACGGGAACCGACTCGGTCGCGCGTAGCCGGCCGAGACGGGGCGCCCACTCCACCACCAATCCGTGTAAAATTCTCTGCAGGACGCACACGCACGCACCATATGCGGTGCATGCCGTCTCGTTCTTTTTCTTTGGCAGTGCGACGCCAACAGCAAGCGTGCGTACCTTTACTTTGGGTTTTTGCATGCAAAAGTTCCAAGATTTTGGCGTTTCCCACTCTACCGTACTACCGTCGAGACTTGAGATATACTGACACACTAGCTTAATTGATTGCTCAATCGTGCGTTCGTACGTGCCAGCTATACTCCAAATACTTGAGATCGATCGTACGGTAGAATACAAAAAATGCGAATTGTAACAAGGTAGGTAGGCTGGTTTACGTACCTGATGTGAAGAGGGGAGATGCTCATGAAGAAGACGGACGTGCGCGCCGGGTCGATGTTGTCGTTCACCCAGCTCGCCCACGTCGTCAGCACCTTCCGATACGCCTCGATCCTCACGACCTCGTCATGCTCCTCCCAGCTCTGCCCGCCCGGTCTCCTGCAAGATCACCCCTATCAGTCACTGTCATCCCACGATCGATCGCCGTTGGTTGCACGGCACGGCGTTGTGATCGATCGATATATCGTGCAACGTAAATTTAGCGTACATGATCTTCATGTTGAGGGTGTTCATCCACCAGATGTAGGTGTTGAAGACGAGGTAGTCGACGCCGCGCCAGTTCTGTGCGTGCGCCGCGATCGCGTCCGCCTTGATGATCCGGTGCTGGATGCTGTGGATCTTGGGGTCGTCGGAGTTGGACTCCACCAGGAACGGCGCCCAGTAGAACTCCACCGTCGCGTTGTACTCCTGCACGCACGTACACACGCGTCCCGACAATTCAGAACACAACAGGCCACGACAACACACTATCAGAAACCGACCCGGCGGCTGATCGAGCACAAGTTGGTTCACCGGTTCTAGCTAGCCGCCGCCACCACCACACACCAACTGCTCCCTGGTCTAGTCGCAGCAGCCGTGCGCGCGCGCGTGGACCCGGCCCGCCGTTGGCTGGCTTGGCTAGACTAGACAGATGGGGATGGGTATGTATGCACGTTCATCATGCGAGCAGCTCGGTACGAATCTTAAAGACGGGATGGATGGATGGATGGAGACGGGCGGAGTACGCACCACGGCGTGGAAGACGACCCGCTGGTCCTCCCAGGTGACGTATTTCTTCCCCGGCGACATCGCCGACTGCACCAGGCACACCATGGACTCCCACTGGTTCCGGTTCAGCGAGTCCCCCACGAACATGAACCGCTTCCCTCGGAGCCTCTCCATGAACAGCTTCGCGTCGAACCTGAATCAATTCGTACAAATTCAAAACTTGCCGTTTATACTTGCGTGTCCAGCTGGCTGGAGCGTTTCCATTTCAGAAGAAACGGCGCATGCTTTCCCGCCCGGTGCAAATTACAGATTGTGATTGGTGGCTCGTCGTGGTTGCGTACCTGGGCATGGAGCAGTCTTTGGGCTGCCACCGCCACTTCTGGTAGGTGTCGTCGCGGCGGCCGTTCCTCATGCACGTCACCTGCGACGTGAGGAACTCGCACTGCTCCTCCCGGTACAGAGGGTAGCTGGTGTTGTCGAACACCCACTCGCCCTTGGACAGGTCGCACGTCTCCGGCACGCCGAGCAGGCCCCCGGCTGCCGCCGCCACCGTCTTCTTCGCCGGCCGCGGCTTCCTCGGCTTCTTCTTCGTCGTCTTGGGTTTCTTCGGCTTCCTGATCTTCTCGACCTTCGGGACCTCCTTCGCCGCCTCCGTCGGCGTCGGCGTCGCCAGCTTCGGCCTCTCGTCGACGTCGAGCGGCAACGCGGCGGCCTTCTCCGCGGACGAGACCTCGCGCCGAGGAGGGTTGACCCGGGCGACGTGGCGCTCCTCCGTCACTACCGGCTCCACGATCCGCGCCGGCGTTGTCCCCGCGCGCGCGATCGGGTCCAGCGTGAGCGACCGGATGTCCTCGCCGTACATGATGATGACGAAGATGACGAAGAAGACGCCAGCCACGTACACCGGCAGCCGCCCGCCCTTCCGCAGCGACGACACGGCCTGTTTCGTGCCGAACGGGTCGAACACCCCGCCGCCGCCGCCGCCCCCCGCCTGCGAGAACTTGCGCCGGTTGGCCATGGCGACGGCACCCGGAGCTAGCCCCCTCTCCTCTTCGCTCTGCACGGTGCGCGTGCGTGAGAGACAGAGACGCGAGCGAGAGGGGCAAGCTAAGCTTTATGGAGATGGCGAGGAAGTAGTCAGCATAGCAAAGCTATAGAGGGAGGCTGGGGATTTGGTGAGGGGAAGCCATCTCACACTTAAAATTTCGCGTGATGCTTCCCCCTCCCTTCTCCTCCGTGATCAGGCGTTGAATCGGCCACTAAGCATGATTTAATTGGACGGGTGGATCGGAAACAGGGAGGGTTTTATTCCTTACCAATTCAAAGCCTCGCAGACTTGGCCAATACGAGGCATGCAGAAACGTGGTACAGCACGCCACTCATGGGAGCCATTATTAAGTACTGTGTATATCTGCGGCACAATACTGTTAAGCTTTGGTGAGGATTAGGTGTTCTCTCCAGAACGGATTTAGTAAAATTTTGGGCTGGTTAGGAAACTTAATTATGCTTACTATACTTGATTTCGGCGACGAGCAGATTTGCTCCGCGCGACCCCATATAGCGGTTTATCTACTCGTATTATCGTATATGGTACTAAATCATTATGGTCAACGTGGTGGCTTATGGGTACAGATTGGCTGGGAGGGAGCAGAGAATTAACAAACATGCATACACATTACACGATTACATGGTGACGTTTTCACATGAGGCAGTTGGCCCCCTTTTTTTTCTTTTGCGAGGGAAGCAGTTGGCCCTTGAGGCCTTGATTCCTCCTTTGGGTTTATTTTTGGTAGAATGATGCGAGACGTGGAGTTCTTGCAGCTTTGTGACTATTGGTACCACACGTCGAGCCAACTGCCGGTTTGAGACTTCTAGACCTGAAGAAACACTGTTTGTAAATATATATAATGTTGTCAAATTTTTACATGAAGTGTGACTATTCGCTTTATTAAAAAATATTGTATGTTTTGTTTTGATTCGTTTTATTATTAATTATATTAATTATAAGCATGACTTATGTTTTTTTGCAAATTTCAATATTTTTTAATGGGATAATAGCTAATATGGTCCCTAAAGTTTCGCTCCTGGGTCATTTTAGTTCTTAATCTTTCATATTCTCCAAATAAGTCCTTTAAATTTGTCATGTAGGCTAATATAGTCCTTGGTCCCACCAAAATCGCCACATGGATATGCCATGTCACCTTCCTATGCAAAATCTATATGATTTGTCCAATTTATCCTTACGCATATGAAAATAAAAAAACAAAAAGAAAAGGTTAAAAAAATATATGGTATATGTAAGAGCAAAAATATACCTCAAAAGGGGGAAAAGATAAGTATTTTTTTCCTATGGTTATGTCTAATTCACCCTTATATTTATTTTTCTATGATATACATAAGAGTAAATTAGACAATTCATCATATATTTTATATGAATGATGACATGGCATATCCATATGATGATTTTGGTGGACCTAAGGACTATTCTAGACCTTATGACAAAGGTTAAGGATTTTTTTAGACCATTTAAAAGGTTAGGGACTAAATTGATCATACATAGAAACTTTAGAGACTAAAGTAGCTATTCTCCCTTTTTTAATAAAATTAATGGTCAAACGGTATGTCTAAAAGCCGATGGCATCGTGTATTTAAAACGGAGGAACTATATATTATAGCATTGAATATGATTTGGGTTGGTTTCAGAAATAAATGAATATGATCCTGGTGACAGTGGAGTCAAGGCCTAGATCACCATTCAACCTTTCTTCTTCTTTTGAAAACGAAATTTTCTTATATTTTTATGAAAGGGTTACCTGGCTAGCTTTTCGGTCAAGAAACTTTCAGGGTAAGCATTGTCCGGGCGTACAAAGCGACAATAGAATGCCAGAAATGTTGGTGATTCCGCTATGTTGGTGTCGCTCTGTCGCTTCTCCTGTTCTCCTCTCATGCATCGACAGGACCATGGGCCATCTGTTGTTAAGCGAGTTATTTGTTACTGCTACTTGTAGCAACTAAATCTGATTTCCTGGGCTGTCTCTTACTCTGTTGCATTCCACTGCATTAGTTATTCCCATTTGACCAAGTTTCTTCAGTAAACATGTATATGTTCCTTAGCCTAAGATACGGAGTTTGCTTCTGCAAATGTATACCATCTCCACATTGTCATCGCTCGATTATACGTTATGACTACAGAAGAAGGTTACGTTTTCACGCCAAAGTCAAAAAAATCAAGGTGTGTTTAGTTCCACGCCAAAATTAAAAGTTTGACTAAAATTGGAAGTTTGAAGAAAAAAGTTAGAAATTTATGTGTGTAGGAAAGTTTTGATGTGATGAAAAAGTTGAAAGTTTGAAGAAAAAGTTAGGGCTGTGTTTAGATCCAAAGTTTGGATCCAAACTTCAGTTTTTTTCCATCACATCAACCCGTCATACACACACAACTTTTCAGTCATATCATCTCCAATTTCAACCAAAACCCAAACTTTGCGCTGAACTAAACACACAGCCTAGGAAGTTTGGAAGTTTGGTTGAAATTGTTACGATGTGATAGAAAAGTTGTGTGTGTATAAAAGGTTTGATGTGATGGAAAGTTGGAAATTTAGAAAAAGAAAACTTTGAAACTAAACAGGGCCTAAACCAGGCCTAAGAGCTCTGCAGTCCATTGACCAGGCTGACCGAGCTAGCCAGTAACTAAAAAGTAATACTAATGTATGTTGATTCAGTCAAACAAGATCAATTGTTCTATAATCTGGATCAATTATACATCTCGCAGTTCGGTTGCAATATCCTTTTCGGCTCAACGGCGTCGCTGTACTTGTGGGGTGACACTTCAATTCCAGTTACGCCAATAGCCCAAAATGCCAGAGAGAAAAGGATACACCTCCGGTGGTCTCGGGTGTCACGTACTTTACTTTTCTTCGTCATCTCCGGTATTTTTCGTCCTGGAACGTACTGAATCTTGAATTATTAACTCACGAAATCGATCAAATAGGAAATAAGGCCACCAGCAAGGCCGTGCTAGCCAGCTGAATATGACTTCTTGTCCAGCCGTTTCTGATCGACGAGTTGCTATTTGAAGGCACTCAAAACCTGACGAATTTGCTGTTTCGTAACTTTGAAATGACAAGCAGAGTGCACCTCTCCTCGGACCTACGGCAACCCGTCGAGAACTTTGACGCAATAATTTGGAGCTAAACTACTGTCAATTCTAATGGTCTACCAGATTGCCAACCACCTAATACGAAGTAGTAATGACAATTCTGTCGCCGCTCTCACTAGCACTATTCTTGTAGCTTTCCTGAAGGAAAACACTGTTTTTGTATCGGTTCCTGTAGTCCTGTGATCTCCAGGAACCTTGGTTTTTGGCCCCTTTATAGCTGTTTTTCTTTGCTCTGCCTACCGGCCAGAAGATAATTTGCATCGTCCGAAAATCGTGTTCGCCATTACAGCGATGTCCATGGCACCGGCACTTTGCTAATGGACTCCTACTATTGCATTTTCCTTGTCTTGTAAGATGATTTGTTGACCGATTGGCTCTACTTGTGCTGTCCTGGGACGCAACCGGCGTTGGTTAATTTGGGGGCAAATTAGAGAGCGACCGGGAGCAGAAAAGAAAACGCCATTGGCCGTCCGAGTCTGGTAGCCCAAGTGCAAGTGGTAATGTGAGGAATCTGAATTTCCTTTTCCTATTCCGATCTGATAGACCGATGCTTTTCTTTCGCTGGTTTACTGTTTCATCCATGGCCCCGCCGGGAGATGATTGGAGAGACACCGCTTTAATTTCAACTTCCATTCCTCGGTTCAGAGAAGCTGATCAATTGTGAACAGGTGCAGTTTTGGACACTGTGAGCAAAGTACGGTTTTTGACCTATGACCAGGACAGCCAGCAAGTTGTAGTGTTGTACCAGCAACTTAGCAAGTACAAACTGCAATGCTGCTGCTCTAATACTATAATTAGTACTCTATGGGTGGGGATCTAACAAAAAAATTTAGCAGCAGGATTACAGAGAAACATCTCTCTATTCTTAGTTGATCGAGTGTAACATACGCTTCGGGCTGTTGAGCCAAGTTTCTTCTGCGTGAAGTTCATCAGGATGGCTGGATGAGCTCGCAAATGAGATCTTCAACAAGTGCCGGCTAACCAAGGGACGGGCAGGGCGCAGCCGGGACGAGGAGGGTTCCGTTTGTACCCATCCGATGGTGGTTCGTAAACGACATGGCCTCTCCGTCATGCGGGCTGGAAGGACCACGTACGACACTGGTCCTGATTAGACGGGGCTTCCCTTCCCAGCCGCCCGCATGCGCGCGCGCAACCTGGAGTGTCACTGCGTCAGCTTCACCGGGAGGGAAGGAGAAGGACGCCCGCGTTTGAGTTGGGTGTTGACAGGATCAGGGATTGGACGTGCCACCCATCGATCAGTCGCTGCTTTGGCAGAGGATGAATATAATTCAGGTTAAATAGCACTGTAGCAGTGCCTTTCTTGATGATTTCATTACATGGATTCGATTTTACTTCTATAAGTAATCTGAAGGTATGTGTGGTTCTTTGGACCTTGGCATGTTCCCGTTTTGTTTAGAGACGTATTATGTTCTAGGTAGTGTGCATCATATCGCCGCCAGCAAAACGTCTCTAACATGGTGCGATAATGTAATCTATCATTCATTAGGATTGTTCGTTTGTATATAGTATTGTTGAAATAATTCCTTTTGTTCTTTTGCTGAAGCAAACCCTTTACTGATTGGGATTTGGGGGGAGGCATGCTTTTTTTTTCCGTTGAGCTGGAGCCTTCTCTTGTGAGGAAATGTGCAAACATTTCTTAAGTGTGATGTGGCTTGGTAGTTTTCTTTTTAGTGTGTAGGTTTGGTCACACGTGAATATCTGCTCTTCCGTCGTAGTCATGCTTGGAAAATGGAATGAATCAACTTATCAACCGCTTCGCATCTTAGGGAAACAGCTAGTATCCGGATCGGAGAGATTTTTTTTCCCTGGTTTTGTCTTGTGCAGAGTAACAGCCGTGCGTGCCGCCCACGATTGCTCGATGGTTCAGCAGGTGTGTTTAGCTTAACCAGAAGTGGGTTAGCCACAGTGCATTTTCTGTACCACTATGAACACACAGGCATAACATACCCTTAAAAGAATAATTAACCGTAAATACGAACACTCGTTTCAAATCTAGAATTTGAACCGGGTGAACTGGTTTAACCAAATGTAATCTAATCAGTTGAGCTATGCTAACTTCAAGTTATTAAACACATAATTAATTAAACGTTACCTAAAATTTTTTTAA